CACCACACTCGCGTAAGTCATGACGGGCCTAATGCAAGTTTTGTAAAGTGTCACCTTGTTCCGAAGGGACATTTTACTCCGCTTACAGATCATGGGGCAGAGTCTACCGAGAATAAACGCGGCACGGTCACGGACTGATTTTATATGCGGGCGGAATGTCATCGATGCATCCAGGGTAACGCCCAGGTTCTTGACCTTCCTGGCTCAGGGTATGGGTTGTCTAAAGAGAGTAATCGGGGGTATTGTTATATTAATAATATAATTAATAGTATCATCGTGTCAGTCATATCGTAATGCTCTATATATTTCGTGCTAACGTATCAAATGCGATTGGATTACAGACTTAATGTAAGGAATGCCAGGAAAGACCTTCCCATAGGTCAAAGTATCGGCTACTTGTATGAACAGATCCGAATCTCAAGATCCCTCGAATAACCACGCGTCCATTGAATGATTGTTATAAAACTCATTGTGCTATAAGCCCATACAATACGTATGTAGTAGTTGTACGAACACAGCAATAACTATTAATATTCGACAAGATCGTCTTTATATTATTTATTACACTTCATGTAAAATTTACATTGGCGGACTTAATGCCTAAGGCATTCTCTACCAGTCAATCAAAGGTAGTGCAGAGTAAATAGTGGTAGGTGCAATGAAATTTATATTAACTTACAAATACATACACTAAAAAGTATATAAATACATATATACACAATCACATATACATACATACGTACATACATACATATATACATGTAATAGTTTATACAGTATTAAAAGGAATATATTAATAAATTCCCTTGACAAATAACTTCATATTATTTTATATTATTTACTATTATTTTATTTTATACTTTTAATATATTATTTTATACTTTATATTATTTTCCAATTTTTTTCCACCGAGCACCGTCCTATGATATTTCCAAATACGAATTCCTGAAATGCAACCAAAGTCGAAAACTTAAATGCGGAAAAGAGTAAATAAAATCTTTTTTTTTTTTGAATAATATGTAGATCATTGATTTCAATAATACCTCTAAATAGAAAGAAGTTAGTAAAAGTTAGTCGATTAAAATTTTTGTTGTGCGACTTTAAAACACTTAGTGGATCACATACGTACGACATTATCACTTCAAATGGCATATGTTCTCCACCCTGTTTCTAAACTTAAAAACAATCATATTTAATATATTTTTTCGTAACATTATAAGCTTTTCACATGACACGTCTAGACGACGCGCCCCCGCGGTGCCACCCCTACGCGTCTGTGTTAGGGCTGCTTACATACATAGAATTTTTTTTATTTTTTATTGCCCTTGTAGGCGGACGAGCATACGGCCCACCTGATGGTGAGTGGTTACCGTCGCCCATGGACTTCAGCAATGCCAGGGGCAGAGCCAAGCCGCTGCCTACCGTAAATTATTTCACGTGTATTATTTCATTAGTATTTTGCACAAATCACGTTCGAATTACTTAAAAGGGCGAATAACAGAACCTAACCGCGCGAACTCATGATACTCTCTCACTAGTTTCTATTAATAATATTATGCTCTTCATCTCAGTCTACTGGCTGAAGACTGTACGGCGGGATCTGAATTCGATTCCGGGTCGAAATGAATAGTTTTCCTAAGGGTAATCGTGGTTCGAGAGTGCTTGTGTTTAGTTTGTGTTTACTGATCCCTAAAGGCTTCTAGAACAAGAGAAAGTCCTAGTTTACTGCCGGTGCGGGTGGAACGTCAATCCACGGCCTCGTCATTTCCTATTTGTATATTCATTATCAAAATACCTAAACTTTACTCCAATATAATTAAAGTTCTTGAAGTGAATCACAATTGTTTCCGGCTATATTTCGATAATTTTTTTATGCGTCAACTTAAAGTAAAAAAAACACTACAGCTAGTTTATTTTATCGTAAAATTAATAGATATTATCTACTCACTAAATTACTCATAATGTACCTACATGATATATTATATCATTATAAATGTTTCGATTGAAAGTTCGAGAATTATTTTCATTAATTTTCCTTGAACTGGGCTGCTTGGTAGCATGGATTTCTTCTCCTTGACAGAAAATATAACAAGTTTAGAGACACTTTTTTCCCCTCCTACCTATGCTGATAGCCTTGAGAGGCTATTTCAGCGTAACCTTAGTAGGTGAGCTCACGAGGCTCAAACCGGGAGTGTTGCTAACACTGGCCATAGCAAGAGCAGTGCTTCGTAGAATTTACCACCGGATCGGAAACGTGACCCACTGAGAAGATTCTGAGAGAAACTCTGTGGGCTGTCCCAAGCGACTGATTCGGCGAGGACGGATTTAGTGACCCTAATATCTACTCCTCACTATGCAACTGGACGACAGAAATTTTGATCGGTGTAAGCGTAGAACACTTATCTGATGAATATCTTCCCTTGATAAATTTTCCGTCGAGTTGATAGAACTGTTGACGTCCATGACCGTACGTAACTACTTCCAATTAATTAGACTGTGGGTCTGTCTTCCTGCGAAGACAATTAAGTAAGCGCTCACAATTAATTCGTTTTTGACACTGCTGTTGGCAGAAATAGTTATTGATTAAATAACTTTGAAGTCGTCGTGGCCTAAAGGATAAGAAGTCCGGTGCATTCGTATGTAGTGATGCACCGGTGTTCGAATCCTGCAGGCGGGTACCAATTTTTCTAATGAAATACGTACTTAACAAATGTTCACGATTGACTTCCACGGTGAAGGAATAACATCGTGTAATAAAAATCAAACCCGCAAAATTATAAATTGCGTAATTACTGGTGGCAGAACCTCTTGTGAGTCCGCACGGGTAGGTACCACCTCCCTGCCTATTTCAGCCGTGAAGCAGTAATGCGTTTCGGTTTGAAGGGTGGGGCAGCCGTTGTAACTATACTGAGACCTTAGAACGTATATCTCAAAATGCGTGGCGCATTTACGTTGTAGCTGTCTATGGGCTCCAGTTACCACTTAACACCAGGTGGGCTGTGAGCTCGTCCACTCATATAAGCAATAAAAAAAAATCTGAATAATTTGTCTAAATATGATTCAATAAGGCTATGCTAATTTAAAGAACGGACAACCCTATCTCATGGTGACATTGTTAGTCCCCTAACGATATAATACATTTGATATATATGCTAACAGCTATTACTTTCGTCTGTGTCAATAACTATCGGTACTGTGGCGTGAAATTATAGAATCTTGATTTGATCATCACGTTGTTAATCGAATCTAGAATCTTTGGGTACTACGTGGTTCGTAGCGGTCCTGACTGACTTCTGTACCATGATGGCCGAGTTCGATTCCGACCGGATTATATTATTGTAGAAAATTTCTTCACTGCTCTAGATGGATGAATGAGTTCACGGCAAAACTGCTGCTAAATGGTTCCTATAGATTTAGGAACGGAACGGAGCGATATGGATGAATGACAGATATGGAGCATGACTGAGTGAGAGAGATAGGAGATGTCGTGTTAGGAAGTAAGAAAGACGGCGAATGAGTGCCGGAACACACGACGGCAAACCCGGAAGACGAAAGATGTTTATATTTGAGTTACTTATAATAAAACGAAATAAAGCATCAAATTTTTGTGAAGTGATCAACGGTTTCACTTGCCCACCATAAATATAAAACCCCACATAGATATCACACAACATGAATGCCGACACCCACTTTGGAACTTTGATCAGATTCTCAATCTTAATGCATGAAGCGGCACAAAAACCCATCACTAAATAAAAACATATGTTAAATCGGTTTTTCTCAGCTATGATGTCATCGTATTGCCAATTGTATTACAGTAATCAATGATATCAATTTAGTTCTTGGTTAATAATTTATTTAAGACATAAGTACCTACTTACATACATAGTTTCATGCTAATACTATTTATAAGTATTAAACTGTTTGTCTTTGACCTTCTCTCAAGTGGAAATGAAGGATCGATATAATTTTTTTAAAGTAAATAGGTCTTAGGTCAAGAAAATAGCATTGGCTACCACTTATCCCGAAAAAACACCGCATTCCTACTGCTGGAAACTGTTTTATTTTCTTTAAAAATATTACGTGACACTAGAGAAAACATATTGACACGTTTTTATGAGCACGCGGGTGAAGCCGCGGGCAACAACTAATCTTATACCTTTAAACGAGCAATTCCTGTATATATATATAATCTGAATCTCGGAAGCGGCTCCAACGATTTTCATAAAATTTAATATACAGGCGATTTGGGGGAATAGATCTAGCTACGATTTATTTTCAGAAAATGTTGTTTTATTCGTCTTTTCAATAATCAACTCTTCCCGACATCTATTGGCGAATAATAATACTATTTTTCTTAATTGAGGGCAACTAACCGCTTTAAAGACACAACAAGAAGGCGTTATCAAAAAAAAACCCGAGCAAAGTTCGGTCATCATCTAGTAATATTATAATTGCGTAGCTGAGTGTGTTACGCTCTTACGTCTTAATTAGGTTCGGGTTAGGAATACTTTTTCTGGACTGTTTGCTGTCCAGAACACAAGATTTGAGACCTAATTTGAGGCCGTAACACTAATAACACCGCTACGTATCCCCACTTCATTACGGATCCTCCCGATCCATTAACGGTGCTTTTAGGCACCACAAGCACCGGTCACCGTCCTCGTCGAACCCGTCGCTTGCGACGAAGGGCTCGACGAGCGAATTAACCCATAGACACAGCCCACTGAGTTTCTAGCCGGATCTTCTCAGTGGGTCGCATTTCCAATCCGGTGGTAGATTCTGCGAAGCACTTCTCTTGCTAGGGTCAGTACTAGCAACACTCCGGTTTGAGCCTACACACGTTAGGGTGAAGCTGAAATAGCCTCTCAAGGCTATCAGCATAGGTAGGGGAAAAAAATACGAATCCCTAAGAACATGTTATACTCAACGACCTTGGGTTTGCGATAGTGACCTCTACCTCATTCTATTAACCTATTCCAATTACAAAACCCTTTCAGAGGGAGACACGAACGCGTCAGTGGAACTAAGAACGCTCAGCTGGTCTGCGTAAGCGGCGGGAGTCCACGTCAGCCCAACACCCCTCAATTATTGAAGGTAAATTTAAAGACACCGAATGAGTAATAAACCGCACAGATTAAGCCTGGGCGACTCTCTTACTGAGCATTAAATGATACTATAATTAGGTAGCCACCGGTCATCTTGATGGTATTGACCGGCAAAGACACCGGCTTTTAGGCAGCGGCTTGGCTCTGCCCCTGGCATTGCTGAAGTCCATGGGCGACAGTAACCACTCACCATCAGGTGGGTTTTAAGCTCGTCTGCCTACAAGGGCAATAAAAAAAAATCTTGACTGACAATTATAACATTTTGCAATGACGGACGACATTCAGAGTAAACATGACCACGGTACCAATCCGTACAGAATTGCAACCTGATCACATCACCCTCAGATCCTAGAAGAAACAATACAGAAAAAAACTCCGAGATCGTTGTGCCAGAGGCCGTCACCAAAGGACGTGGACAGGTTCCGCTTGACCTTCAACATTGATGAGCAGACGACTAACAATCTGTTCCAGTACAGAACCAAATTCGTCCAGCACATGCTGACGAGTCCTATGTATGCTAACAGCACTATTGGAAAACCCTGGGAGACGATTGGCAGGCGAGTGATTTAAGAGTTGATCTTGTTTGTTACATTTAAGAGCTTGGATGGGTGGACGAGCTTATGGCCTTCTCGGTGTTAAGTGGTTTCCGCACCTGATAGATATCAAGGACGTAAATGGCGCCATTTGCCTTGAGTGAGACATTAGTTCTAAGTCTTTGTTCTATAGTACGGTCGCCCCATCCTTTAAGCCGAAATGTTACTCCTTCGCGGCCGAAATAGGCCGGGTGGTGGTATCTCCCCGTGAAGGTTTACACTACTAGGTTTGAGGATGATGCTGCCACTGTGAGTAAGTTAAGGGAATGCATTATTAGCACTTGAAGGCAGCTCACGTATTAGTTTTCCCTGTTCGTAAATGCGATACGGTTTTATTTTTAATATAACAGCGTCAAGGAGTCGTCGTGGCTTGACAGATAATACGCCTAAAAGTTTGTTATATGCCATTTAAAAAGATATTCTGAACTGAAGAACAATTTAGTCAGTAAGCCAATTTAAAACATATTTGCCATACGTCATATTAAACTCTCAGCTGTTCCAAAAAGAGTCACTATTCTGAGACGAGCTGGCGCAATAAATCCTTATAATTATTAATAATTACCATTTTTCAGTATATCAGAGAAGATTATAGATGAACTTCTGTTGAACTGCGCCAAGGAAATGGAGATACGTAATTTTGTCGATGAAATATACAAATTTGAGACTTCTTGAGATTATCTAAGTTTTGTAATTGTTATTGAATTTTTAAATGGGTATTAATTAAATTTGGTTTTGGGAAAACTATGTTTCATATTAGTACGTACGTATTTTACATACTTATTGGTAGAAATTAGTACAGATTTTTGGCTTAAAATGATTTTGACCATGGCCCGTGAGAAAAAGGTGTTGTTATTTTTTTACTTTTATGATAACCGGAGTTGCGGCAAGTTCAAGTTCAATTTATCCTTCAAATCGGAATACACTATCGCATAGCCGCTGAATAGTACCGTTAAACCAATAATACTAATACCAGTCACTATTAGGATCCGACAATTAGTGACCTGCGCACGCAACGAGATCCTCCACCACTCGAAATGTGAAAGCTCTTTACCATCAATCATCGGTGAAGGACGACTTCAAGTATTGTTTTTATTTTATGAATTATGTTACATTTATTTAAAATAGATTTTTTTTTTGTTTAGATGGGTGGACGACCTCACAGCCCACCTGGTGTTAAGTGGTTACTGGAGCCTGTAGACATCTACAACGTAAATGCGCCACCCACCTTGAGATATAAGTTGTAAGGTCTCAGTATAGTTACAACGGCTGCCCCACCCTTCAAACCGAAACGCATTGTTGCTTCACGGCAGAAATAGGCAGGGTAATGGTAACTACCCGTGCGGACTCACAAGAGGCCCTACCACCAGTAATTACGCAAATTATAGTTTTGCGGGTTTGATTTTTATGTACGAATGCACCGGCCGTCTTATCCTTTAGACCACGACTTCAAATTTAACCTGACTAATATAAATCCTTCTTTAAGAATTGAGTGTATTTCTTTTAAGCATGTTGCTCCATTCATTTGAAAGGTACCTCTTTGAGACCGAACTATATCTTTGGAAATTTAGATAAGAAACAGATCTTCATTACCAAAAAAGTGACAACACTAGAGTCGAATCCGAGCGATAAAAACAAGATTTAGCGTACTCAGTTTGGTTACGATGGAAAATTAAAAAAGCCTACTTAAAAAAGGCGGGATGCGTTCCCAATTGAGAACCTCCTCATTGTCTGTGAATGGGTATAAACTACTCACTCTAAGATTCAGGGTACTACACTTTCCTGCCTTCGATGACAGTAATAAGCATAGAATATTTCAGACATATGACAGTGTTGACGAACTTACTAAATATAGGTATAGTTTTTGAGGACTTTTAAAGGAATTAAAACACGAGAAAAATAATGTAACAATGTTTTATTACAGTGATTTTTGAATTACCAATTAGATTTATATTCATAATTAACGCGAAATTACTAAATGTTTTAAATAACGCGAAAATATATAAAGTTGCTTGTGACAATTCAGTCTTTGGCAAAATGGCTTACTAAATAGTTATATAACAAACGATAGAACTTAAAAACTAACTCGTGTCATTATTATCTATGGTTAGTCACTGTACATGATAAATAAGGCACTTGGCTTAGTCTTATAATAATAAATAGTTTGCTGCGTTAACCCAGACTTGGAACTGGGATCATATCATTGCGTAGTATGTTCGTTGGACATCATCTTCAAGTAAAACATGCTGTTGATCTGGTAAGTGTAAGTATTTCCGTCACTCTTCGAAGTTCCTGCAAAACTCTCCAGGTATCCCAGTAGATTGCAACGATAAGTTTGAGTTGCCTGACAATAAAATTTGCTGCTTACGTAAAAGTATTTTTAATTATATTTACGAGTCGCGAAAACCAAACTACCACATGTTTTTCTAAATAATTTCGTAGATCCTCAACGAATGGACGACCGAGCAACTAAGACGCTAGTCATTCCTCAAACTGCATCGTCTTTGTTAAAACTGAGCCTAAAGGAATTCAATACTTCACCGAACTTAGCTTTTTGACGTTTTAAAGTATCATTTTTGTCCAACTTTGCTAATTTGGCAATACTTTCTGTGCTCGATGTATCAGTTTGATATGCTTCTTCAGGTGTAGGAGGATTAGATTTCATCAGCCTAGGTTTCAATAGTTGAGGGCCGCCCGCAGCGAATATATTCTCTAACTTAGATTTTAAATCTGCTCTTGTCAATTGTTTATCTTCTTCTGTTGATTCTTCTTCGGTTTTCGTCTCGTCTGGATTGACAGGTCGCAAATTCTGAGCCACTTCACGAGAGACAATCTCCTTTTTCAAATCTAGGAATATAGATGGACGACTTACGGTGAAAGTGTTGTCTTCAGGTGCATTTCCAGTCGACTGGGATCTTTTTCTTGGTTCTTCATCATCATCATCCTGGTTATTCGTTATCTTGTTTTGAAATATATCGTTTAGCTTACTCATGAAATGTTTTTGTCTATCACTACCAAACGTAATATTGTCATCGCTATGAGAGTTATTCGACTGAACGCTTTGCCTTGGAATCTCTTCTGCTTCTTCGGACATTTCTTTTTTTAAAGGTCTCGATGAAATTGTATAAGATTTCTTAAAATTTGGACTTCTAAAAAAATTTTCATCTAATGGCGGTGGCACTGGTATATTAGGAGCCTCTTCTTCATCCCTGTCCTCTTTCTCTTCAAGAGACTCACTGAAATGATTTCTATCTAACGTGTCAGAATATCCAGATTCATCGGTCCTTGAATTGGTCTCACTGTCATTAAAAGCAGTGATTTGCTCGTGTTGTTCTGTTTCTTGTTCTAGATCATCGTCATCATCTCTTTTTTCTTCTTCTTCTTCAGTTACCTTAGGCAGATCCTCTCTGTGGACCTGTGCTATTACATCATATTTAGATAATACTTGATTACCTGATGATACATCAGACCCTGCGTCAGAAAGCTCGCCTAGTGATTTTCTGTGGATAACTTCTTTGACATCAGGAGCTTCTTCTATATTTTGGTCTTTCAGACTGATAGCTTCTCCGTATGTTTCTTCTTCAGCTTGCAGGACTTGATCTAACAGGTCTATTATTTTAGCTTCCTTTTCTTCATTATTCTCAATAACCACTTGATGTTTGATTTCCTCGATATTGGATGTTTCATTTCTGACATTACGTATTTGATCGCTACTTTGTTCGTTCTCTTCCAGTATAGTATTGTCTCCGTGGCTATCAATTCTATTAATACTATCAGGCGGCGTAGGTGATTCTACTACTATTTGTACAGGTAGTGGTTTCCCATTCTCATCTGAGTGTGGCATAACTATATCCTTTTCTTCTTTGTCTTTCTTTTTGAAACAACATAATCCTAATAAGTAGACTGGTATACCTAAAAAGTATATTACTTCTATTATTTATTTTATTTCATTTGTAATAGTATCAAGGCAATCGAGTCTCTTAGTAGAATGGGCGTGCATAAGTAGCTCAAAGTAAAAACCATAGTATGACACTTCATAGCTACGAGTAACAAGAATAACGGTAGACAGAATCTTATGGGGTGTTGATGACATTCCCAGCCTGAACCAGGATTGTACTGAGTACATTTTAATCACGTTGCTAGCTAGTGCATACGAGTTTAAGTTATAAAAACAAAATATAGTTACATCTACTAAAACTTTCTTAAATAAATAAGTTCTCTAAAAACACTCTAAACCTAAACAAAGTGCTGTTTTAATTTACTGATATTCATTCCATCAATACCGTTTTCAATTATATGTAATTAAAATAATATATGTAATATCCTCACCTATAGCAAGCCAAATCAGGACTCTAATCCAAGTCTGAAGTTTGATGAGAGCCATCAAGTGCACGTTCACGTATATGCTCAGACAGGGAATCAGAGGCACCAGAGGAGTCTAGAAAACAAAGAGGATTTCCGATTTGGAATCAATAAGGCGGAAGCTATTATTAATTTACTTAACAACATATATATATTCGTAATTAGCTACGTATGGTACCGCGCATTATAATTAAGCAGGCTCATCACTATTCTGCTTTTATCTACCACGAAGCAGTCATTCCAGGTCGAAAGGTACTACAGCCTTTCGATAATACAATTGAGACTTGGACCACGTGTATCAAGGCAAGGAAGGCGGTCACATGGTAATATCTTTGGACTGTGAAGTAGTTCATCCATCCCGATTTTGAGGCCATATATATATATAATATTTTTTATTTTTATTTTTATTGCTTAGATGGATGGACGAGCTCACAGCCCACCTGGTGTTGAGTGGTTACTGGAGCCCATAGACATCTACAACGTAAATGCGCCACCCACCTTGAGATATAAGTTCGAAGGTCTCAAGTATAGTTACAACGGCTGCCCCACCCTTCAAACCGAAACGCATTACTGCTTCACGGCAGAAATAAGCAGGGTGGTGGTACCTACCCGCGCGGACTCTCAAGAGGTCCTACCACCATTAAGTTTTATTATATATACATACATTTAGGTACCACTACTTTATTTATTTCCAGCGTGAAGCAGTTAATACATTCTAGATGGGAAGGGTGAGACAACATTTTCCAACACAATTGATACCTCAGCGAATTAGCGGCGTGACTTCTACCAGCTCCGATAACAAGATAGACGCATATGAACCAAATGTCCAACTAACGGAAAAAAATCAATGGAGTGGCACACATTTTAAGACCACTACTATTCCGTGCGTTCGCGTTACTAAACGGTTCTCTAAGCTATTATATGAACTTACCTTAAAAGCTACCTCCTCCTTCGCTTTAGGCTGAAGCGACATAATAATGACCAGCATCAAAGCCAGTACGTGTAGTACCAGCAGTGGTACGAGAGGCCTTTCCACGTGAGTCAAGATGAGTGCCATAGAGACACATAAGCTTACTGAAAAAAATCATTAAAACTTAGAATAGGATATTAACCTTATTAAATATTTGCAACAAGTTATGCCATAGCGCATCGATTGAACAAATACTACTTTGGTATAAACATGGTATGAAGAAAGGCAAATCAATGCGCTTGAAAAAGACTGATTAAAGGAGATTTCCCCAGATTCGCATGATATATGATAGAAACAATACCAAGAAACGCATTTAGGAACATAAACGTTGGAAGGATATAACCAAATCGGACAATTCATTAAATCCCTAACCGTGACATAATTAATGTACAGATAACTTTTTTTTATTTTTATGATTGAAAGATTACTTGTAGCCAGGAGGCCTTTCCAGTTTCACCAGAATAAGTGGGTGAGCAAAGGATCAGCCAGGAGGGGTGGGATTTGCTAACAGCTGCCCGAGCACCTCCGAAGGAGACCTAGCAACTCAAAGCAATTGCTTCGCGAATGAATCTACCACCGGATCGGAATTGCGACCCACTGAGAAGATCCGGCGAGAAACTCAGCGGGCTGATGCATGGGTTAGGTTGCACGTCGACCTCTATGTCGAGTTCGACGAGTACGGTTACCGGAGTTCCTAAGCCTACTCCTAGTGCTAGAGCTGAATACAGATAACTGCAAGTGAAGCGCCTCCATTAGTTAACTTTTAGTTCTCCTTACGTAATTCTTTGACATATTCTCGTGTGTAAAATACGTACTAAATAGAAACAAAACTGCGTAAACGATCCTGGCGGTGCTCTGTGTGGCGAGCCTGAAGCCACAGCCGAAGACTTCTTTGAAGAACCCTGGAGACGATTGAGGAGCGTATTCTGAACGAAACCTATAAATAGTAAATAGATATTATATTTCGTTGCTCTGGTAGATAAACAGTATTGTTTAATTTAACCATAGTTTATGCCTTTCATACGACAGACGAGCTCACAGTGCTGCTTCGCGGTTAAAAAATCTATGTTGTTCTGGTGATTATGCCATTGGGATTCTACCTATGATATTCGAAAACTACTGCTACTCCATTTCCTTATATCATTCGTAGTACTTAATTTAGAACTCCACGAAATTCTGATGGTAGGAGGACCTCTTGTAAGTCCGCACGGGTAGGAACCACCACCCTGCCTATTTCAGCCGTGAAGCAGTAATTCGTTTCGGTTTGAAGGGTGAGGTAACCGTTGTTACTATACTGAGACCTTAGAAATCATATCTCAAGGTGGGTGGGGGCATTTAGGTTATAGAAGCCTATAGACTCCGGTAACCACTTAACCAGGTAGGGCGTGAGCTCGTCCGCCCATAATAAAATACAGTAAAAAAAAAAAACTCCTTCGTAATTATTCCTACGCTCCAGGCCTTTTTTCCGTACCTAATCACTGATAGCCTACTAGTCGACAACTAACAGACTAGTAGGTGAGCTCACGAACTCGACTTGAGATAATTTACTAAAACGGGCCCTAACAAAGCCATTGCGTCGCTGAATCTACCATCGGATCGGAATCGTAGCACTCTAGACAACATGCACTAGATCACTGCGCTACATTCTCTTCAGAAAAAGGACTTTAAATATTATGAAGGCTGAAGAGGCATGATTGAAAAAAAAAAAACTATCATGATACATAATAAGTATACAAAATTTCGAGTTAATCCGACGTTTTTGAAGGAGGTCATAATCATTTTCAAAGACCCCGTTACATACTAATATACATACGTCCGAAGCTAATCAAAGCGTATTAAAAACAGATCATGTGGTAAGCGATATGTGGTAAGCACTTTGAATATTTACCTTAATACGATCACGCAGACAGCCACTACGGTGTAAGAGAGCAGCGTTCCAATACAAAGCATCAGTATGAGTTGTTCTAGCTCCAAAACTCCAGCAAGTATGGCTGAAATACACACGAATATATTAATTAACTAACTGAACGACAAAGTGTGCCGTGTTCATTGCGAATTTGTTTTCAATTATCGAGACAAATTTTCACAAAAAAAATCGTTGACAACTCCATTCTATTGCAAATGTTTATAAAACACCATACCTATTTATGTTATGGGCTATTGCATCGTTTTTATCGAGAGCTTTGAGCGCGGCAATCGAATCAAGAAATTCCGTAACGAAAATAAAACCTAAAACCCACACTCCACCTACCATGTAGCTCGCATTCAACACATTCACACGTTACGCTGGTGTAGTGTTTGTGAATAAGCGCGCGGCGTGACGTCGCACTGCATGCGCATCATGAAAATCTGCCCATCTCTCTCTCGAGCGGTCTATCTTATGAGCGTGAAGGGGACAGTTAATGTTTTGCTTTTGTTAAAGTTTATAAATATAGCGTGGTCTTACTTTATTATTGTTTTAATATTAAATTATTATTATCTAATGTATTAATTGCGTTAGTCGATAAAAATGCTATACAATAGCTTTACCGCGGCAGTCCCCGAGTGCCACACGTGTTTTTTTATTATTATTAAGTCTCCACGCCACCCCATGGTTTGACAATTCTATTGTGGGATTTGTATTTTGCATTTTCATATCTAGCCTTGGAGCTCAAACGCTCAGAGCTCATAATACGCCTGGGCGACCAATTTGTTTTTGTAAACGTGAGATCCGGTTAAAACTAGATATCAAAACATACAAACCGACAACAGCAGCTGACGAAACCGTGGCAAAAACAGGAGACTTGCGCGACGACGTTAACTTCGAAAACCAACTGACCAATAAGCCGTCTGAAGACATGGCGTACAACAGCCGCGGGAGAGGCAACAAGGCCCCAAATAAACTGGAAATACAATACAAATATTCAAATCATTTGAATTTAGACCTAAATTAAACTTTTTTTTGTAGTGAAACTTCTTTAGAATCGGTGTTATTTCAAACTCAACTGAAAGCAAAAATAAGTCCATAGAGACACAAACATATAAATATATAGGATTCAACCGGCGCGAGAATGAGATAGAACACATTAGACGTTCACGGTCTCCTCTTTGTGCGACTCTTCGTAGCATCCCCACTATCGTCTACTAAACATTGTATGCTCCTGTGTAGTGGGATAGTCAGTATATCTATATCTTATTCATAACTTTCACTTCTACCGTGTGTGACTTGCACACACACACGCTTTTTTTTATTGCTTAGATGGTTGGACGAGCTCATAGCCCACCTGGTGCTAAGTGGTTACTGGAGCCCATTGACATCTACAACGTAGATGCACCACCCACCTTGAGATATAAGTTGTAAGGTCTCAGTATAGTTACAACGGCTGCCCCGTCCTTCAAACCGAAACGCATTACTGCTTCACGGCAAAAATAGACGGGGTGATGGTACCGACCCGTGCGGACTCACAAGAGGTCCTACCACCAGTAATTAATTGTAAGTAATTGTTAAATAATTGTAAGTTTTTTAATTACGTCTTAAACAAATTACAGTAAATGTTTTTTTTGTCTGAAGTCTCATATTTTTTGAGCTTTTCTTTTTTATTGCTTAGGAAAAGCTCACAGCCTTATATTAGACTGTTATCGGAGTCCGCAGACATCAATAACGTAAATGTAGCTGCAATGAACAAAGAAACTTATCGCTTTCTTTGAAGAGCTTTAGAACTATTTTTAAGGCAGTTAACAATTTTCAACTAACCTGGCAAGGATCCCAGCGAAGGCACCAACAAATACCACCCACTTCATCCACTCCCATCCGATGAAAATGAACGCTGACCCAATAGCATCGGTGGAGTTCTGTAATTTAGTTGAAGGCATTTTAAATTAAAATCACACAACACTTTATTTGTTACTAGTATCTATCTAGTCTATATATTAATACGTGAAACAAAAACTTTGTACCCCTTTTTACAAAAATTGCGCGGACGGAGGAGTATGAAATATCTTAAACTTATAGAGAATATAGAGAAGAAGTGCAGAATGCTAATTTTTTTTTAATTATGCTTAAATAATACACTAAATCCATAAAAAAAGCATTACACACACTACCATGTATGTGACACAACACACATATAAAAATATACTCTTTGTTTACTGTCAATTGTGAAACTTTTGTTATGGTTTAAAGTTTGGCGAACACTGTGATTGTATTATCGAATTATAATAGTTTTTGACAATAGAACCATAATAATGTTTAAACTTATAATTTCAATTAATTATAGTTGAATTTCGACTACTGCGGGACCACCAGTTATTATAAAAATGCTATTTCCATAATATCGTCGTGGCCTTAAGGATAAGACGCCCGGTGCATTTATATCGAGTGATGCGACTGTTCCGATGTTCGAATCTCGCAGGCGGGTGCCAATTTTTCTAATAAAATACGTACTTAAAAAATGTTCACAATTTACTTCCACGGTGAAGGAATAACATCGTGTAATAAAATCAAACAAGCAAAAATTATAATTTGCGTAATTACTGGCGGTAGGACCTCTTGTGAGTCCACACGGGTCCACCACCACCCTGCCTATTTCTGCCGTAAAACAGTAATGCGTTTCGTTATGAAGGGCGGGGCAGCCGTTGTACTGTAAAACTGAGACTCAGAAGTCACCTGTCACGCCACGTTAACTGCTCCCGTGATAAGTTCGTAAAGAACTTGTGTTACAGGTACCAGATAACGGAAATAAATGTAAGATTTTTATTATACACATACATATATTTAATATACATCCATAACCTAGGGTCATGGATGTATATTAAAAGACATTTATATTTATCATACAAATATCTTCCCTTGGCGGGATTCGAACCCGCGACCCCCTTGTGTAGTGACCATGTCACTTACCACTACGCCAGTCGGCCGTTTGAAAAAATGTATTGTAAATTGTATTTAACATGACATTTTAGTGTCTCTTTTTTAAACGCCGTATGTATAACATTATTAAAACATTTTAAACGCAAAAAATATTATAAAATTAAAAAAAACGAATGAATGCCTGACATCTACCCATCTACATAAGAATGAAATGCTACAGATAATTGAAAATTGAATGGCTGAAATAATGAAATTCTCTAATAATTTGCTTAATAACCCAAATTACCTGCAGATAGTATGGCACCATCATTGTCAAAACAATAGAAATTCCGCAATAACAAACAAATGCAGTAAGCAGAACTATCAATATTACCATTGGAATGGTTTCTTGAGGTTTTCGAACCTGGAACATAAAAATACACAATTATCAATAATTAAATTCAAAATTACTCCCCCGCAAATTTCTTTAAACAACTTTACCTCTTCGGCCGCAGCGTTAATGGTATCGAATCCAACAAAACCATAAAAGCAAATCGCAGCGCCCTTCAGTGTGCCCCATACTCCATATGGGAAGAATCCTCCAGAGCCACTACCTTGCGGAACGTCCGTGAATGGGATACTCCAGTTAGCTGAATCGGCTAGAATGAATAATTGCAAAGGTGAATGAGCTTAACATTCTCCTCTAAAACGACTATTATCACTACAACTCAATGCCACTGGTCATCTCGAAAAAGAAGATCGAAGCTTTTATTGCATTTCTCTTTTCAATTTAGAACGCAAGATCAGTTTTCCCGTAGGCTTGTGATAGGGAAAGTGGCAGTACTGACCCGTGCGGCTTCACAATTAACGACAACTCGCATTATCAACTATAAAAAACTAATCTTATGTCCCGCTATGTATGTACCATAACCCGTCTACTTAGCATCAGCACATTTTGTCTTAACAAACGGCTCAAATGACTTTAGTTCGTTTAAGGCATATATTTTTTTTTTTTATTGCTTAGATGAGTGGACGAGCTCACAGCCCACCTGGTGTTAAGTGGTTACTGAAGTCCATAGATATCTACGACGTAAATGCGCCACCCACCTTGAGATATAAGTTCTAAGGTCTCAGTATAGTTACAACGGCTACCCCACCCTTCAAACTTTATCCCTATTTTGATCCCTATCTTTCCCTATTTTGAATCTCTTTTCTTTAAGAAGCATAAGCCCCATTTTTTTTACTTTTGTTAAACATTTGGAAGTCACGAGGATTTTCAAAGGTACACGATCTAAAAACAATTGAATAATAAATAGCACGTACAGCAAATGGCACAAGAAACTTACCATTGATAGCTCCAACGATGACAACAAGTATAATCACTAACAAGTTCAGCAAGACAAACGCGATGTTCACGGCGGACGACTCTCGACCACCTACTGATAGCAGTACTGTAACGATACGTTTTATTAGTGTTCTTTCTTAGCGACCAAACTATGCCACAAAGATGAGAATTGAAAAATAAACTGGAAATATATTAGTAGTTCAAATCAGCGATTATCTTACAGCAAAAACAGATGAGGGATGGAACTAACTCGGGCGGGCTTAAGACATATCAATCTTTTTTTTTTCCTACCTATGCTGATAGCCTTGAGAGGCTATTTCAGCTTCTCGTTGACGTGTAGGTGAGCTCACGGGGCTCAAACCGGGAGTGATGCTAGCACTGGCCATAGCAAGAGCAGTGCTTCGCAGAGTCTACCATCGGATCGGAAACGCGACCCACTGAGAAAATCCGGCGAAAAACTCAGTGGACTAATATCAATCATTAACTAGTGCGCACTATTGTTAGTCGGGGAAGAACTAAAAGCTATGTAGGAAAGCTTATGAAGCATTGGTCGCGTTATCTTATCTTCTGATCAAGATTCAAACACAATAGCATCATGAAAATCCACACCCTTTACATGTTAATGCCGAAGGCGCTGTATACTCTAGCGATCCAAGATGGCTTACAACAAATACCACTACATATGCTCAAGTCGATTTAAAGTAAATTGAAACCATGCGCGAAGAGGAAGTAAAAGTAATCTTCTTCAACCCGTGTCCGTGTCCACCCAATGCTGAGTGTAGGTTTTTTTTATGTTTGGGAGATCACTGGTGGTCTGGAGGCCTTTCCGGTTTTACCAGAGCAGGTTGGCGAGCAAGGGCTCAGCCAGGAGGGGTGGGATTTGCTAAGAGCTACCCGAGTGCCTTCAAAGGAGACCTAACAACTCAAGAGTAGCTGCTTCGCGAATGAATCTACTACCGGATCGGAATCGCAACCCGCTGAGAAGATCCAGCGAGAAACACAACTGTCAGTGCGACGGTATATGTGGCCGGCCTAAAGTATTATTATATTATTATTATTACGAGTATAATATTAATATCAAAAGTAATGAATACATACCTCCAATGACAAGAACAAATGCAAACGCCAGCAGATCAAAGTACGGTGACAAGAATGAGGAAGAGATCGGCATTGTAGCTGTTGCCCATTCTAATATTGAATTGTTGCACATCCCGTCCACGTACATGCTGAGACCGCGGGCCAAGCTCGCTGCGCCTGTGGAGTACATTAGGAATAAGAGAGAGAAGCTATGCTACGTCAACTAATAAAAAAGGAAATATAATCGAATAAGGAATTAGGAGAAGTTATTGTAGGTAGTTGTAACGTTGGTTTGACTGACATAGCCAAAGTGATTGCTCGGAAAAAGTGGAAGTGGGCCGGCCACATATGCCATCACACTGATAATCGGTGGGGCACAAAAGCACTGGTGTGGAGACTTCGTACTAAACGTCGTAACGTGGGCAGACAGCCAACGAGGTGGACCGATGACCTGATCAAAGCAGTTGGTAGAGACTGGATGAGAAAGGCATGAGACCGAAGAGAATGGGGTGCACTCGAAGAGACCTACACTCGGCATTGGGTGCACACGGGTTGAAGAAGAGTAACGTTGGTTTTGACCGCTTTGTTGGTGAAGTAGTTTTATATACATATTATGGTGGTAAGGCGGTCTGAAAGCCCGCGCGGGTAGGTCCTACTGCCCTGCCGATTACTGCAGTGGAGAATGCAATTTGCGCATGCGTAATGCGTTTCAGATTAAAGATGGCGCAGCCGTTGTTCTATAAAACTGAGGCTCATTTCTGAAAGTGGGTGGCGACACTTATTTTGTTCATGTCTATAGGCTCCGGTAACAACTTAACACCAGATGGTTCGTCGACGCATATAAGCAAAGAAAAAAAAATACAGGTTCCGGCTTTGCTTCCTAGTTCGAATCCGTCTTTGACGTCCGAATGTACAAAATGTTCTTGTAATGTGTATTTACAATGATGTGCGTTCCTAACATAGGAGAAAAACCTAGCTTGGATTATCTTATGTATATAAAAATGAATTGCTCTTCGTTAGTCTCGCTAAAACTCGAGAACGGCTGGACTGATTTGGTTAATTTTGGTCTTGAATTACTTGTGGAAGTTCAGAGAAGGTTTAAAAGGTATATAAATATGAAAATGCTCGGAATTTAATAAAAATAACCATTTTTGTTTTTCCTTTGATATGTCCCCCGTCGGACGGATTGCTTTTGTTTGTTTTAAGTTTATTTTATACAAAAGTTTGGGTTTTTTATTTATCGATTGTAGTATTACGAAGTCTGCCGTGTCAGCTAGTTAATTATAATTAATATAGAGGCACTGATAAGTTTTGATAGTCCCATCGAGGCAGACTCATGGAAACCATTCATGCCAGTTGAGCCAAGCCACTACCTACTTTTTGTAATTCTAGGTATAATATGTATGTAGGAACGGAACGGAGCGATATGGATGAATGACAGATATGGACCATGACTGAGTGAGAGAGATAGGAGATGTCGTGTTAGGAAGTAAGAAAGACGGCGAATGAATGCGGAACACTTAGTTTTATTTCATAAGCAAAAGGAGAGCAGTTTCCGGACGCGACGACGCTCAGACGCAGTGTAACCCGGAAGGCGAAAGACGTTTGTATTGGGGTTACTTATAATAAGACGAAATAAAGCATCAAGTTTTTGTGAAGTGATCGAGCGTTTCACTGGCCCACCCCGAATTCAAAATCCCACATGTATGTAATGAATATGCGTCTAAGCCATGCGACTCTACTTACCCATCGCTGCTTCAAGAATATTGCACCAACCAATAAAGAAAGCCACCACCTCCCCGATGGCCACGTAGCTGTAAACATATGCTGAACCAGCTCTCGGTACTCTGGCTCCAAATTCAGCGTAACACAAACCTGAAAGTAACATGCAAGACGATCAATCTAAATGTTTGGTTAATTTTTTCTCCATTAGGCATACTGGTGGTAGGACCTCTTGTGGGTCTGCGCGGGTAGGTACCACCAGCCCACCTATTTCTGCCGTGAAGCAGTAATGCGTTTCGGTTTGAATGATGGGGCAGCCGTTGTAACTATACTGAGACCTTAGAACTTATATCTCAAGGTGGGCGGGGCATTTACGGCGTAGATGTCTATGGACTCCAGTAACCACTTAACACCAGATGGACTCGTCCACCCCTCTAAGCAATAAAAAAAAGCATAAGGTTCCGCTAGGTATAAACTATGCCAACACAACTGACATTATCATTATCTAAATAAAAGTGAAACTTACCGGAAAATAAAGCCGCAACTCCAGCTATCAGGAACGAGAGCACAATTGAAGGTCCTGCGTAGTTGAAGGCTGCGTAACCGATAATGACGTAGACACCAGCTCCGAGAGTACTGCCCACCCCAAGGGCTGTCACGTCCCAAAGACTCAGGCATCTGGAAGGGAATAACAAAAGTAAGAAATGGAAAGAGTTTATGATGATAAAATTGATATAATATCTTTGTTATTGCCCTTACAAGTAGACGTGCACACGGCCCACCTGATGGTGAGTGGTTACCGTCGCCCATGGACTTCAGCAATGCCAGGGGCAGAGCCAAACCGCTGCCTACCGTAAATACTAAGAATAGAAGAAAGTGTCTTATGGGTTAATATTGCAGAATTTATAATCATGATATTTGAAAGAAAATAAACTCGCATTGACAATAATTTCGTTAAGTCTCGTCCATTACACAAACTTTATACCTGAGGTCTTTCTGGTCAAAAACGGCTCTATTCCTTTATAATGCTTTGTATTCTTAAATACAACCTAAGCCACTTCGTACATATACTTGTAATTTTGATAGACTTTAGCTCGTTTAAGATCGTAAGGTTGAAATTATTATCTACGTAAATTATAAGATCGCTGACCTTTTCAAATTTCCAGCTTCAAGCTGATGAGGCTGTATAATCTTCCTCCGGCGCACGACGTCGCAAAACGTCCACTTCCCACCAGCCATTGGTCATCTGCGCGTTCTCTCCACCCTCATCCCCCAACGCAACCGCGCACCTGCAACACCAAAACATATTATAAAATTAATTCGAAATTAGAAGTCGTCGTGGCCTAGAAGATAAGACGTCCGATGCATTCGTATGTGGCGATGCACCGGTGCTCGAATCCCGCAGGCAGATCATTTTTCTAATGAGGTACGTAATTAACAAATGTTCACGATTTACTTCCACGGTGAAGGAATAACATCGTGTAATAAAAATAAAACACGGAAAATTATAATTTGCGTAGTCACTGGTGGTAGGACGTCTTTGTAAGTTCGCACGGGTAGGTACCCCCACCCTGCCTTTTCTACCGTGAAGCAGTAACGCGTTTCGAAGGGCGGGGCAGCCGTTGTACTGTTAAAATTCAAGGTAAGTGGCGGCATTTACGTTGTAGATGTCTATGGGCTCCGGTAACCACTTAACATCAGGTGGGCCGTGAGCTCGTCCAAGCAATAAAAAAACAGCATAACCAAAAATTTAAATACCTTTTATAATATATTTTCTTTTTATTAATTTGCAAGGGAACGAAAATTGTACATTTAGGAAAGTACTATACTGTAAATGTATACATACAGCCATGTCTATGTTTACATTGCGGAGTTAAAGGTAGTAATTATGATGCCAAAAAATTTGTTGCTACATCCAAGCTTGGCTAATATTATTATTATTATGATTAAAGTACCGTCTGAGGAACTATTGCATATTTTCTCTACCTTTTACCGACATGTATTTTTATTTTATTTACCTATTTGTTATAGATTTACCACAGTCCCACAAACAAGTCATAAATAGTCCTTAATATCTCGGTCCTAATTACAGACAAACACAGCATTCTTGATTAACTAGTTTATAATATGTATTATCTATGTTCTTGATCATTCTGATTTTTTTATTTTTTTATTGCTTAGATGGGTGGACGAATTCACAGCCCACCTGGTGTTAAGTGGTTACTGGAGCCCATAGACATCCACAACGTAAATGCGCCACCCACCTTGAGATATAAGTTCTAAGGTCTCAGTATAGTTACAACGGCTGCCCCACCCTTCAAACCGAAACGCATTACTGCTTCACGGTAGAAATAGGCAGGGCGGTGGTACCTACCCGCGCGGACTCACAAGAGTCCTCCTACCACCAGTAATTACGCAAATTATAATTTTGCGGGTTTCATTTTTATTACACGATGTTCCTTTCGATATTCCTTCACCGTGGAAGTCGATCGTGAACATTTGTTGAGTACATATTTCATTAGAAAAATTGGTAGCCGCCTGAGATTCGAACACCGGTGCATCGCTCAACACGAATGCACCGGACGTCTTATCCGTTAGGCCACGTTAGGCGTCGTGGTTAGCGCAGGTTTTTGTCGAATTTCTTCTATTTTATGATGGCTGTCGCCCCACCCATTTGTTTGTTCAATCTAATTCGACAAGTGCNAACATTTGTTGAGTACATATTTCATTAGAAAAATTGGTAGCCGCCTGAGATTCGAACACCGGTGCATCGCTCAACACGAATGCACCGGACGTCTTATCCGTTAGGCCACGTTAGGCGTCGTGGTTAGCGCAGGTTTTTGTCGAATTTCTTCTATTTTATGATGGCTGTCGCCCCACCCATTTGTTTGTTCAATCTAATTCGACAAGTGCCACTCGAAAGTTATTTGCACAGCTACTTTATTACACACTAGCGGCCCGCTCCGGTTCCGCTCGGGTCTTTAACAAAAATTTCAACGATATTTGACGTTATTTTATTTTTTTAAATTAAAGAACACTTATTGCGGCATAACTATAGTAGTTAGACATATGCTGTCGCTACACTTTTTGTAAATAATAATGTGTTCTACAAATTCGTAGTACGTTATTTTATTCTATCATGAATAGTTTTCACAGGGCACGCGATGTAAAGAATATTTTAGGTAGTTTTTTTACACCTTGGGTACATTATTGGAGTTTTAGTAAGGATCCCTAATTTTTTTTAAAAGGTTATAATATAGCCTATGTCACTCGGGAATAGTGTAACTTCCAAACAGTGATAGAATTTTTTAATTCGGTTCAGTAGTTTCGGTGCCTATTCAATACAAACAAACAAACACATCTTTCCTGTTTTATTAGTATAGACTAACTATGACTTTACTCATTACGTCAAAGAATTATTCGAAAAGAAGCAACGATTCACTCAGTCAATATTTGTATTAATTCACCTTCGAATACAGTACAGATACAGCTTAAAATTCATTTATCAGTTTAACGCAGAATCCGCAACGTTCGTAATCTCAGTTAAATCTTATCAGTTACACAGTTAACCATGAGTCTCTTACACAACCACGCTATCAAAAGATGGTTTTGGAACTAAAGTTACCTCCAATCTCTGTCGTATCTAATGTCTTTAATATCTCGATGCCGAAGGTTTTTCGAGGATCTTTGAATTAGCCCAATGGTTCCAGAAATTATTTTCCACCAAGAAATACACTAAAGCTAGCCCTCTATGCGAGATAAATGCTCGTATCAAAGATTAAGTCCGTCATTTGATGAAGCTTGTTGATTTACGGTAGACACCATCTTGGCTCTGCCCCTGACATTATTGACGTCTATGGGTAACAGTAGCTATTCACCATCGGGTGGGACGTATGATAATCTGCCTAAAAGGGCAATAAAAATTAAAAAAATATGCTGCTGTTTCGATTTTCGACATTAGAAAGACAAAATTTAAGACACACGATTTACAACTCTTTTTATGGTAGTAGATCTGAAACTGTAAATGGACTTAGTCTTAGTGTTTTTGATAAATTGTGACTACTTTTGGAATTAGTGTACTGATAGTTACTCTTTTAATTTGTAATCTGAAATTTGTAACTCAGGTTACTTGAGACTCCAAAGAAATTACGAAGATCCTACCAATATGATTTTAGCTACGAGAAACAGATCAAGAAGTAGATCCGATCCTAGTATCGTTATGTAGCTCTCTTCAGCTATACTGTATGTGATAGTTTCTGACGTTGAGAACTGTTTGCTTGCTTGCTTGATGCTAATATTGCTTTTATAATGACATATACAATTTTTACTGGTGGAAAGACCTCTTGTGAGTCCACACGGGTAGATACCACCACCCTGCCTATTTCTGCCGTGAAGCAGTAATGCGTTTCGGTTTGAAGGGTGGGGCAGCCGTTGTAACTATACTGAGACCTTAGAACTTATATCTCAATGTGGGTGGCGCATTTACGTCGTAGATGTCTATGGGCTCCCGTAACCACTTGACACCAGGTGGGCTGCTAGCTCGTCCACCCATTTATGCAATAAAAATATATAAAAAGAACTACAAATCTAGCATTCTGGATTAAAGGGATCTTTATTAAAAAGCAGTTTCGAAGTCTATAAAATTTTGTTGTTTTAAAATTGGCGCATCAAACACTTCGCTTCTGATTTTTATATTTGATATTTGTGATTGTCATCCTATCCAAGAGCGGCGAATTCTAATCTATAGATAATGAATGACTCACAGTTGTAACTGTTGTGAATGGGTGAGCATTTGTTTGTTTGTTTGCCCTTCAATCACACAGTAGACATGAATCCTTGCAAACAATTAATTTCCGGACCAGGGAGTCATATAGGCTACAATTTATTCCAGAAAATGACACTTGTGTGAAATAATAAGTTTTTACAACATCGACACTGTCTTACCGGCAGGGCGTGTTGTAAGCACGCATGGGTAACATCACCTCACAATGTGGGTGACGGCATTGCTGTTGTGATGTCTATGGATCACCGTGACCACTTAACTCCAGATAGACCGTAAGCTCGTTTATCCATCTATGCATTAAAAATGAAAAAAAAAACTCTCGACAAAAACTCAATATTTTTAAAGAATTTGACATTTATGTAGGTAATTATGTATATTAACATTCTAATCACGTGTTTGTTAATTGATATTATTAAATTGCCCGATATTTCGATTAGTTTTCATATTCACAGAAGAGAGAAAATATTTTTTCACGATCTAAAACCGTTGAAGAATTTTAATTGCGTGAAATTTTAATATAATTAGGGCAAGACGAATTCGTCTACAACCATGTGACTGAGTTTGTCTCGCCCATATGATCACGGCTTCGTTCCTCAATCACAGACAGAGACACAAAACTTACGAACAAGAAATATAATAATGTTTCCACTCACCGAAAAGATTTTATGACGCGAACAAATCCATTTTAAGTCAAGTGCACGCTATACTATGCTCTTAGAGGTTAATTAATTGGTTCACACGGCTTGGTACAATGGTTCTGTGCGCCTTACTAAACAGATAACGTGTTTTCACGGCGAGATAAGATAATGGAATTTCATATCGAATGATCATAGCCACTTGTGACAATGTTAGTGTTTTTTTAGTGTTTGATAAAACGTTTAGCTCGCCTTCTCTGAAAGCGTTTTTTTTTGTCATTCGAACACTGAACAAGTGTAATTTGGCACAAAACTTTTATGTACTTTATTCAATCTATATCTAATATATAAAATTCTCGTGTCACAATGTTCGTTCCCATACTCCTCCGAAACCGCTTGACCGATTCTCATGAAATTTTTTATGTATATTCATACCCCCAAGTGATTAGGGTTGTCCACCCCTAACATATTTTTTTTATTTGGACTTTTTTTTTTGTTGTAATGAGGTATTATGTGGTTGAATGAGGTTTTGTTATTTTTATTATATATTCCCTCATCGTTCACAGCACTACATACCTCTTTCACTCATTTACCATATCCTTACACACTTACAATAAGTTAGTTTTTTTTTCTACACTAGAAATTCCCTAGAAATCTTATATATGGCAAAACAATGTTTGCCGGGTCAGCTAGTGCTCATATATAAATCTACAGTGGTTGTTACGGATGTTCCGTTATAACTACTGAACCATGCATCAGATTGACTTGAAACTTGGTATCCATGTAGGAAATACATGTAGGTACTTAATGGATAGGCTAAT